TTTGTATAAGGTTTTTGGCGTTTGGTCAGCTAGCAAAGGTGTGGGTTGCACTGGCTCTTCCTTCTTCTCCCTCTCTCTCTGAGTGGAGAGAAAAAACAAAATATATTTGTGGTTTAGACGTTGAGGGTCTTGAGCTGTATAGACACCGCAACGCTATCACCTCTTACTCACCGGTACCCTAAACCCTAAACCCTAAACCCTAAACCCTAAACCCTAGTCGGCGAACGGGCTGCAGAAAGGGTTTGTTTCTTCTTCTTTCTAAGCAGTTGTTAGGGTTTAGGTTTTGTTGTGCAGATTGGTGATCGATTAGGGTTTAGGGTTTAGGGTCTAGGGTTTAGGGTTTAGGGTTTAGGGTTTAGGGTTTGTGTGAGCAGTCTGCAATGAAGAAGTTGTGCTGGAAGGCGACGTGGAGCTTTGCTTTATTGTCTCGGGGTTATGGTTTTCCCCTCAACACGCAGCAGATATCTTTTGCTGCTCCTGCTGCTGCTGCTGCTGCTGCTGCTGCTGCTGCTGCTCCTGCTGCTGCTGCTGCTGGGCGTAGTAACGAGCCGCCTGCTGAAGCGGGGTGGCCTTTGGGTTCGATGCTCGTAGACGTAAACCACTACCCCTGGGGAATACCGGAACGGTGAGCTGATGAGGGTTTAGGGTTTAGGGTTTAGGGTTTAGGGTTTAAGGAAACGCACGAGGGTTTGGGGCTTAGGCTTGAGAGGGACTCATGGGGGTTTAGCGTTTAGGGTTTAGGGTTTAAGGAGACGGGTGAGGCTAGGGGTTTAGGCTTGAGAGGGGCTGATAAGGGTTTAGGGTTTAGGGTTTAAGAATTAGGGTTTAGGGAGACTGATGCGAGTTTGGGGTTATTGGTTTTGTTGCGCCTGACCCTGGGTTTAAGGGGCGGGTAAACATCAGGGTTTAGGGTTTAGGGTTTAGGGTTTAGGGTTTAGGGTTTAGGGTTTTGTTGTGTTGTGTGCAGCGATGATTTTCTTTTTTTGTTGGTTTCTGCTGTGGCTGTGGGGTGTATGTGCTTGTCTGCGTTTCTGTGTTATCTCCTCTATACCCTGAAAGAGAGATTAAAACAAATACAGGAAACGCCTCACCTCTCAGCCTCTTTAGTCTAGGGTTTAGGGTTTAGGGTTTAGGGTTTAGGGTTTAGGGTTTAGGGGGGTTTTAATAGGGGCCCTAAACCCCCCCTTTCTTTGGGCCCCTCGGAGCAAACCCCTAACCATTTCTTGTCTATAAAGAGTTTTATAAGGATAGAAAGGGTTTAGTGGAATAAGGGTTTAGGGTTTTATATAAAGAGAAAGGGTTTAGGGTTTAGTAGAGTAGGAAAGGGTTTAATACAATA